TGCCTGCATCCAAGGTACATGCCCTTGACTGGAATGGAACCTGGGACCCTTCAGTCCATAGGCCGATGCCCTATCCACTGAGCCAAACTGGGTAGGGCTGAGTACTACTCTTATTAAGAGACAATCTGGATCATTGGGAAGCTATACTTATTTGTTTTAACCAAATCTTCAATAAATTAGTTTTGTGACAGAGAAAATAATGTAACCTAATATCCCATGGCCCTAACCAGATAATAAAGGAAGCTGAGAGGGGAGGGGGGGGCGTTCAAATGTATTTACTAAGTCTTTCTATTCTTAAAAATAACCATCATACAATAATGTCCCCAAGGCATTTTTGGGGTCGCAAACTCTGTTCCCCTCAAATATTTTACTTATGCATGATTTTATAACATCATGTATTGTCTGTCAGAATATATGGGGAGGGCTCATGGTTCATTGAGAAATGCAGATCTTCCAAATGTTGACATGTCATTATACAAACCTTCCCCCCCCCAAAAAAAAAATCACATTAATTAACATCATCACCTATCCCTATCCCATTGGAAAGGTCTTTAAAGTTCACAGTGGCAGATATAAGGTTTTTTAAATTCTGATTTCCTCAAGAAAGCCCAAATTTTATCACTGACAACAAATACTGTCAATTATTTTCATTGACACGACAGGCCCACTAAGGTTCATCTTTAAGAAAATGTTTCCTAAATATCCAAGTTTCAATAACTACAATTTTTTAATCTGTCATTCTTTTAAGTCAAAATGGTGTTCCATGAAAAAAGGAGTTAGTTCAGCTTGCAAACCAAAGAACAAATGCTTTTCCTCAAGATAACCCCTATTTCAGCATGCAGCACCAGGGCTGTATGTATACAACCCATTTCATCACACAGGTGTTAAAAAGATGTGTACTCAAGGGTTAAGACTGAACAAAATGAAGAATTTTTGTTGTTTCATCAAGAATATTCTTAAGTGAAACTGGCATCTTAAATTTTATTTATTTGTATGTTTACATACTTATATTTTTACAGGCAGTCTTTGGCAGTGAAAAATGTAATCACTATTATTATAGTTTGGTGCTTTGATTACTAAGGCACCAGCGGTTTTACCCACCAGAGCTTCTGTACCATCAGTGAAAATATCAACATAATGAAAAAGGCAGATAATGTCATAGTATTATTAGGAAAATAGTTTTGACCTCATGGACATTCTGAAAGGGTTTTGGTGAGTCCACGGGGAGGCAGACCACACATTGAGACCTACTATCACAGAAAATAACCATATTTACTGACAAAGAATCTTTAATATCTGAAACAGAATGTTGAAATATATCATTGATTGATCTACCCTTCAACATTTTTTTATTTTTCAATTTTAGTTCACATTCAATATTATTTTATATTAGTTTCAGGTATACAGCATAGTGTTTAGACAATCATATACTTTACAAAGTGTTTCCCCCAATATTTCCAATACCCACCTGCCAATGTACATAGTTATAATATTATTGACTATATTCCCTGTTCTGTACTTTACATTCCTGTGACTATTTTGTAACTGTCAATTTGTTCTTCTTGATCCCTTCATCTTTCACCCCTCCCCTGTGGCAACCAACAGTCTGCTCTCAATATCCATGAGTCTCTTTCAATTTTGTTTCTCCATTTATTTTATTCCTTAGGTTTTCTGATGTATTTCATTTAGTATTATACCTCTAGGTCCATCCATGCTGTGCAAATGGTAAGATTTCATTCTTTTTTTTTGTGGCTAATATTCCATTGTATACATGTACCACCGCTTTTTTATCCACTCACTTATTGATGGGCACTTCTGTTGCTTCCATATCTCGGCTATTGTAAATGTTACTGCATTGGATATAGGGGTACATATATTCTGTCCAATTAGTGCTTGAATGTGCCCTGACCAGGAATCAAATCCACATCTCAGGCACATTGGGATGATGTTTTAAGCAACTGAGCTGCTTGGCCAGAGCCTAGCTAGTCTTCATTTGGTTATTTGGGTTGATTTTTCAATAAATTTGATCCTGGGAGGAAGTGACTATAACTTCTACCTGCCTTACTGCCATCTTAGATCCCTAGATATATACCCATTTAATTACTATTTAACTACTATTAAAATCACAGAATGAGAAAACAAAGGATTTAGTACTAATTTAACTTTTTAAATAAGTGTGCTTAAAAATAAACTTAGGGTAAAAAGTTTGGAGACTTTAAAATTAGCTTAGTTATTTACGTTTTTGTTTTTAAGCATTAATAGTTCTATTTGTGAAATAGCTTTCTCTCCCTTGCTATTTATTGCCTGCAATTTTATTAATGTGAAAGGATTTGAAATGTCATTTCTTCAAAGAAGATATACAAATGCCAATAAGAATATGAAAAGATGTTTAATATCATTAGTCATCAAGGAAATACAATGAGATATGATTTCACACCAGTAGGGTGGCTAGAAATCAGAAAGTCAGAAAATTACAAGTATTGCAAAGTATAAGAAGAAATCAGAACCCTCATACACTGCTGATGAGTCTAAAATGGTCCATACAGTTACTTTGGAAAACATTCTGGCAGTTCCTCAAACAATTAAACCTAGAGTTATCATATGATCCAGCAATTCCACATCTAGGTATATAACCAAAAGAAATGAAAACATATGTCTATACAGAAACTTGTTTATGAATGTTCATAGTAGCATTATTCATGATAGCCAAAAGCTGAAAACTACCCAATTGTCTATCAACAGAAAGACAGTAGGTAAACAAATGTGGTATATCCATATAATGGAAAATGATTTGACCATAAAGAAGGAATGAAGTATTGATACATGCAATAACATGGATGAACCTTGAAAACATAAGGTTAACTGAGAGAAGTCAGTCACAAAAGACCACATATTATATGTTTCCACTCATAGGAAAGTGCAAAATAGGGACATCTATAGAGACAAAATGTTGATTGGAGTTGGTGGGGGCAGGGGGAGGGAGGGGTGCGGTGGTGAGCAGTACGCAGGTATAAGTGATAGCTAAAGGATAAGGTGTTTCTTCTTGAGACGATGAAAATGTTCTAAAATGACTGGTGATGGGTGCACAACTCTGTGAATATACTATAAACCACTTAATAGTATTCTTTAAGTTAGTAAGTTGTATGAAATGTGAATTATATCTCAATAAAGCTGTTCTCCCCCACAAATTAATTCCGAGAAAAAAGTTTTAGATAATTTTATAGATGGGCAGACTGAAACCCCAGTGAGAGGCGACTGACCTAAAGTCACACAAAGGCTGGGACAGGAACACAGGTTTCTGGTTCCTGAAGTAGAGTGCATTTCATCCCCCAGAACAGTATACAATACCCCTTTTACTTCTGAAAAGAAATTCCAATGATCATACCAAATGCATTCAAACTAGAGTCAGCCTAGGAGGTGAAAAGAAAAGTACTCTATCTACAATTCTGCTCTGAACAATGTCACTCTTTGTGGAAAGAAATGGGAAACTGAGCAGAGTAAGAGAGGAGAAATAGAACTCACCATCTCGCTTTAAACACTAAACCTTTTATGGGCGGGCTTATAAGTGGTCACACCAGTTGCGTAGGCTTTTATCAGAGATGAATGGGGCAAATCTAAGGCCCATCACAAATCCCACCTACTCCATAAAATATTCCCAAGTAACTTCTGTCCTACATGTTGGCAACTTTTATATTTAATTTTAACTATAATTTATCTTATTTATACAGAATGGAGTGAAAGTAGGTTTATCATTTGAGTACATGAAACAAAGTTTATTCCTGTATTATTTTTCATTAATTATTGTATTATTTTCCATACAAACTGTAAAGTTATATTTGTTCCACCCTGTATTATTCTTTCTTGTTTCATCCTTAAATACTTGACTCATGTAAGTTTTATTTTCTTGAAAAGATTATTACTTTTCCCCCCATAATTTTCCACTTCTTCATACTCGATACTTATGCATAGTGATACAATAATTAGTAAATTAAAATGAATTAGTCAGTTTGCCTTTAATAATTTGAGATATTTGGTATTATCAGTGCAATAAAAAGAGTATAAATAAATCTAGAAATATATTAGTAATTCAATGGATAACGGTCCCCTTTGAATTTACTAACTTATAATTCATGTATGTAGTTTTTTAATGTTGCACAGGCTTTTATCAGAGATGAGTGAGGCAAATCTTTAACCTTTATGCCTCTAATTGGTGAATCATATAGACAAATTTGAATTCTGTTTCTAATGCTAGTTAAGTTTCAAGGGCCAACTGCTGGTAAAAGAAATGACTAACCATTTAAACTGCTAAAAGATAAACTGAGGCATATCAAAAATTTTAAGAGTTTATTTGAGCAGAAAGTCCATTCAAACTGGAAAGTGTTCCACCACTAGGAGCTGGGAAAAGATTTTAGAGAGAAGAGGCAGACGTAAAGCAAGGAAATTATTTGATTGGCTACAGATTAAACAGTTGCCTTATTTCAGAAAGCCTAGGTGACAGTTTGTGGTTGGTTGTCTTTAGGTTTACATTTCTTAACCTTGAAGCATTTGCAAGGTTGGGTTTTATGTGCTTATATAACGCCACCAAGGCATTAGAACCACCTCAGTCAAAGGGCCTCCTTTGTTTAAATAATTTAACAATTGCTATATCAGGATTGCATTTTTAAAGAAAGAAGATATTATGTAGCTCATCATTCCAAATAGTTAACCTAAAGGGCAGGGCTTTAGAAAAAGTCTGAATTAAAATAAATATTTTTAAAATGTGTACCAGTTAGGGATGGACTGTAGCTGCATGAAATAAGAACCTAACTACAGTGGTAACTTATCCAAAGAGGATTGGAATATTTTCAAACAGCAAGAAGTCTAGAAGCAGGGAGTGTTGCCAGCTTTAGTAAATAAAAATACAGGACATCAGTTACATATAAATTTCAGTTAAACAGTCTTTTAGTGTAAGTATGTTTTATGCACCACTTAAACTGGGCAGCATGTATTTTATTTTGCAGTCTTAGAAGTAGGTTGTCCAGAATGTGTTCTTCTAGCAGCCTACCTTATCATCCTTCCTTTGTGGCGTTTGTCCTTAGAACTGCAAGATGGATGCTGTACATGGAGGCATCAAATCTATGTTCTCGGCAGGAAGACTGGGGAAAGAAATGGGAAGGCAATAATCCTCTCATCCAACACAATTTTACAGTAAGTTTTCCTCCCTGATCTAAGTGTACGGTGTGCCTTATTTTCTTACAAAGAGATAATTAACTAACACTGGACATTGATACCTTTCTCAACCTCTTCAAACAATTAGCATCAAATTATTTCTTCTTGTGGAAGCTGAAAAGGAAATCATGAACAAATGCTATTCAATTACAATAATTTTTTTCCTCTATTTAATAGTAGTCTTAGAAACACATCTGTAACAGCCTGGCCAATGGAGGCTCAGTGGCTGAGTGTCAACCTATGAACCAAGAGTGTTTGATTCCCAGGCACATGCCCGGGTTGCAGCTCAGCCCCCAGTGGAGGACATGCAGGAGGCAGTTGATCAATCATTCTCTCTATCTCCCTCTCCCTTCTTCTCTGAAGTCAATAAAAATCTATTTTAAAAATTAAACACTATTGGTTCATTTTTTCTTGTTAAGCCAGCAGGAGTTTCACAATTTTTATGGGACATTTTCTCTCAGAAACAAAAGCAGTTGTTTATCTACAGTAACTTGAGACTATCAAAAGCAATATCACATGGTGACCTTCGCCACATTCATTTTTCTGAACCAGTAGAGAAGTATATGTAAAATAATAATATAATTTTCACTGTAACTAATGCATTTCCAGTAATTATTACTCTATAGATGAATTCTCAAAGGAAAATAGGAATTTAGTTTAACCAAGTTTTTTTTTGTTTGTTTGTTTTTACAAGTTGGCTGCCTATCTATCTGTCTTTAGGAAGGTAATACTTGATTTCTTCTCCCTTAAAATACAGGACTTCTTCTCCTTTAAAATACAAGATTCATGTTCAACTGAATAAACAGCATAATTATTTTGTCAGGGTCTAATGAAAATGAACAGTTCCTCAATTTCTCAGAGTGGGATAGTTTTTACAAGCTCTACAGAAGATATCTTTCAGATAAGGTCACACCAAATAGAAGTTTTGCTCATTGGATTAAAAATAGATCAGCTCAGTGACTCAGCAGGTAGCTTATTGCAGTGCCCACTGAGAACATCCTAATTCTTCCTTGTACTACATCACAGTGAAGTACTCATGTGGCTTTATGGGGATTAGCTTATTCAGCTATTAGAAATAAGATCATAGTATATCTAGGACATTCTGTGAGATACAGTGCACTGAGAGTATTAGGGGTCAAATTCTGGTTAAGTATATATAAGCACGTATTCAACATAACCATTTAAGTTTATTTTAATGAGAGGATCAGGGGTCAAATAGTGGTTAAGTGTAAGAAAGCATATATTTGGAGATTTATGTTCCTTTTAATAGATTTACAGTATTACAGCTAAATTGAAAGTGTATGGTGGAATTAGGTTACAGAGTACTTAACTGTGCTGATTTTTAGAGCAATGCCTGTTTCATTATTCTGTGGACTTTCCTACCTGACTTCCCTTCCCCCTACCATATGGGAAACCTCAGGGAACTTTAATGTCTTTCCTTTTTTTAAAAAAACTCAGATTCAGGCAGTGACCAAGTCACTTTCAACCTCAGAACAAACAGGGCTGGTCTTACAATGAAGTTTGTAGTGCTCCTGACCTTGACATGAGAAATAGAAGGCCTACCTTCTCCCAAAATATTTCCCTCCAAATTATTGGCTATCGATAGGGAAATCTTAGCTAGTACCTTCTATTAATATACACTGAGTGGCCAGATTATGATCTCTGAATGCATAATAATCTGGCAACTGTGTGTGTGTGTGTGTGTGTGTGTGTGTGTGTGTGTGTGTGTGTATTAGAGGCTTGGTGCATGAATTCATACATGGGTGGAGTCTGGCCGGCCTGGCCAGGGGAAGGGGACATGGGCGGTTGGCTGGCCTGCCTGCTGGTCAAACTCAAAAAAGGGGACAATTTGCATATTTGCCTTTTATTATATAGGATATACACTGAGTGACCAGACTATTATGCGTTCAGAGATCATAAAAATCTGGTCACTCAGTGTATATTTCTATATCTAGCATCCATCCACTTGAATATCACTCTTGTACAGTCACCATATGTCAGGATGCTGAAGAAACAATCAATAAAACAGGTCTTGACCCTCTAAGGGTTTCATTTAACTCCTGATTTATCAGGTCCTTGAGTAAATAAATAGGTAAGTTTTGATGTGAGGGGAAAAGGAAGAGTAAAAAGGTAGTGTTGCCCTAGCTGGTTTAGTTCAGTAGATAGAGTGTCGGCCTATAGACTGAAGGGTCCTAGGTTCGATCCAGGTCAAGAACATATTGCCCGGGTTGCAGGCTTGATCCCTAGTGGGGGGTGGGGGGGAGGGGTGCGGGAGGCAGCCAATCAATGTCATTGATGTTTCTTTTTGTCTCTCTCCCTTCCTCTCTAAAATCAATAAAAAATATATATTTTTTTAAAAAAGTAGTTTTTCAGAATTTACCAGATGACCAGAAAATACTCGACAAGTACTCTGAGGTTCGGGAAAAAACCTTTATTTAAAGAGAAGCTGCTGTCTCAGGGTATTCAAAGATCCAAAGCCTGAATAGCTAATGCAATGAGATCACCCCTTATATATTCATAAGTTTCTTTTTTCCTAACTACCGGGCTTTTGTGGTGGGCTTTCACAGCTCCTCCTGAGTCAATTAGAATGGAGAAGTTAGATTGTATCTAAATACCTGGACACACACACACACACACACACACACACACACACACACAAGCTGCCAAATTTTGGGCCTGTGGTCTCTACAAACTAGGAACACCCAGGAAACAGACTGTTGCCTAAGGAAGGGGCAGTGACTTAATTATAAGCTAATAAGAATGTGCACTAGGACACCTGTCACTGGCACAGATTCAGATTGCTAGGTCCACCTACCCCCCAGGTTGCCCCCTATATTCCTCCTCATTAGGAAGGTGGAAGAATCAGGTTTTGCATGGCTCTGCCCTGGAGAGGCAGTCAGGATAGCAGGCCAGGGAGAAGGAGCAGCTTACTGGCTCTAGGGACTTTGAAGGGAGGGAGAAATCAATGCAGAGGCACTGAGGGCAGAAAACAAGTTTTATTTTCATAGAAACTTAACATAGAAATAACCTTGTAGATACTGCCTGGTTCAGCCCATTCTTCTCTTAGGTCAGGCCCTCAACAAAACAGAGAGGTAGCTGAAATTTGTCTTTGGCAGGCAGTATAGTTTCTGTCAGAGTATTTTTTCCTTCAGAACTGCCAGATTTACCATAGCCTCCCCACACTCCCAATTATTTGGGGACCTTTCATCCCTCAGTAAAGCTGTTAACTGAAAGCAGAAAATTAATGAAGAGTTCATTGATAAAGGTTTAAAGTGAGTCCCTGCTGCCCTGGCTGGTGTAGCTCAGTTGGTTGGAGCATCATCCTGTAGATGTAGAAGGAAAAGTGGTAAGTTTAGGAGAAATACATGGATGGTTTTTTTCCATTGCTAGTGGGAGTGGGGTTCTTGGGGTACTGCTGGAATAAGCATTTCTGGAGGCCCCCACGGGAGAATCAGCACATTCCTCCGTTTCCAAGGTCCCATTTTCCTTAATCCAGTCCTGGAAAATGTGCAGCTGGGGATTTGGCAGAACTGAAAGCAAAACCAGTGTCCAGAGTTTCCATTCCAAGATGTAGCTGGATCCGGTGTGGTCTGCCCTGGTGTGTTTTGCCCTGAGGGGTTGGGAAAAGGGAAGTTACAAGTTATCCTGACATTCCACAGGAATGTTATCTTAGATGCAAAAAGACAATAGGTTTAGCAAAGATCAAAGTTGATCTTTGTCAGGGAAGATATGAGCCTAGGACATGACTATCCACCATAGACTGCTTTTAATTTAAAAAGTTTTCATTTTAGACCATTCTTTGTGGTTACTTTAGATCTCTAAGTTTGCAAGGCCATCACACAGGCCTTCCTTGAGTTAATCAGGTTAGTATATTACCTCTTTTTGTCCACATTTTTTAAGAGGAAGAGCCACAACTGTTATCTTTGGGCACCAGAACATGGCTCCTGCCTGACACTGGTCTGGTTGTCAGTGGATGAAACCTCAACAGCTTGTCGCTCCCAAGTTCTTAGAACAGAAAGCTGTCAATCATTTTACAACATTTACGGAATGGAATCCTTCTTTTTGGCAAAGAAATTGTGAGTTTATATAATCAGTCTAAGAAAAGGACTAGAAAAAATTAACAAAGCAACATGAAAATAAACACAAATAAACGGGATGAAGTTATAATGTATAAAGTCAGTCAGAGAAAATGTGCTGACCTTCTAAAATGCTTCCACAAATGTGAGGGCAAATACAGATTTTCAGCTAAAAATGAGCCCAGAGACTTGACTCTTCTTTCCTCTTCTTTCTGAATTTCTTTCTCTGGCCTTTTCAAATATATGTAAATCTTTTTAATGGGAAATAAGCCTCTGGCCAGTCTCATAACTCAGGAATGTTTCCTCCTTGAGGGTCTGGGAGCCATCTCTTTGAAGTATAATCACCAAGGAAGATAAACCCAGTCTCCCAGTTTCCTGGGATGAGCGAGGTCTAAGTTGTCACCTGACTATAAATTGCAAAATCTATCTAATGAATTGAATGATTGTATCCAGGTAGCTATATAAAAGACAGAGATTTATTTCTTTCTGTGCAATTCCCAGGGAGGTTTACTTGTGCAGAGTATTACATTCTGATTTTATGCTTATTCAAATTTAAAATTTTCCATTTTTCTACCATTGTGGAGAACTTTTCTGTGTTGAGAGATTTTGTTTTCAATTATATTTTTGCAACACAAGCATGGGCTGAGCTTTCTGGCAGCTGAGATAGTGATGCCCATGTGGGTGAAAAAATGGAGTTCTATGGGTAGTATCTTCTCTGATCAAAAATTCCTAACTGGGCCTGGTGGATAGTCACATCCCAAATCCATAACTTCCTTAGTGAAAGGTTTTAAGGCAGGCCTGTCCATTGTGCTTATGTATCTAGACTAATACGCCTTTGAAATGCCAGAAGTAATACCCCTCAAATGGGGTATAAGTCCTCAAGAGAACACACAATCTTAACTATCCAGTAATCCAATCACACCTTGTTTTCTTCCCTCTCCATGTACATTCATTCCCTCCTTATTTTCAAATGTACAAAAGAAGCTGTTAATCTCTGAGAATGTTCCCTCTGAGATGAAAATGCTTGCTTTCAAATCCTGGCTCTGTGATTCACTAGCAGTGTGAGCTTGTGCCAAACAATTGGAAAATACACCGAATTTCCCCCACATCTAAATTTCCTCATTAACTTTTGTAAGCTTCAGTTTCCTCATCTCTAGAATTGTGAATGATGAGTCAGCTCTACCTGAATCTCATGGAAAGGATCCCACACAACAAAGAGAGACTCTGTTGCTGGAAG